ATCTATACACGTATCAGAAAATGAGGCTATTCCTATGTTAAGCTGCAAAGCTAAGGATCTTTTATGAAACGGCGGTTGGTCATAGTATCTTTAGATATTCCAAAAGGACCACAGTGGTCTTAGTGTAGCCTGTTGCTCAGTTGTATAAATGATTGAATGCAGACAGATATTATATAAGCTGGTCTTAAACAGTATGCATGAGTGATATAAGTAACAGCTACAGTCCAGACTGCCCGCAAAAGTAGCCCAAATGGATAACAGTGAGAACAGCACAAACCACATGAAATCTGATCTTTAGATACAGGTCTGAAGTTTTGCAATGAGACCTCGGTCTGAACTATCACATCATAATTGCTCATTCATCACAATTCTGTGCTGATGGGAGTCACCCCAAAGATTTCACATTCCGGCAAATCATTTGCCAGCTCGTCCTTTTACTAAGATGTTCAAATAAGGTCTTCTTTGGTATTTTTTTTTAACAGAGCTGTTCAACTGTTCTTGAGGGCTAATGTCCTGTCGATTTTAGCTCCAACTCTAATCAAACACACCTGATCAATGTCTTAAGGATTACAAGAAAATTACAAGTAAGATTGATCAGGGTTGGAAGTAAACTCTGCAAGACAACAGCCCTTCAGGTGTTGAATAACTCTGGTCTATTATTTGTTCCCAGGGAGAAAAACCTCCCTATAGTACCATTAAACAACTTCGGTCCTGGACCCTACAAATCAAGTTTATGGGCCTTTCCTAAACTACAGAGGTGGTCGGCGCAACTTACGGTGGAAAGTGAATTGATAAATGAATAAAAACAGGATATACCTTAGTTCAATCCTCTACACTATGAAAATTTGGGGGTCTTTTGAGAGTTAAATTGGTTGAACGCAGTTGTCAATCCTTGAAATGACCAAAGTCTACATGTTCAGAATACGATTAAGAGCCCTATTTTAAATATTTAAAACGCAAGTGTCAAGTGCAAAGCGCAATAATTTTTGTGGGCAGATCTCGGCGCTGTTGCTATTTAACCGGTGGGATAAATGACTCTTGCGCTCGACGCAAATCTAAAAGGGGTTGGTCTGAAGTAGCTTCATTATTCCTAGGTGTGGTTTGGGCGTAATGGGAAACAAACCAATCAGAGCGTCATATCACGTTCTCTTAAAGAGGTGCACTTGTTACATGGCGCAATAATATTATAACGGCGCATTAACCAGGCGCGCTTCAGTCGAGGAGATTGATGTTCTCGTCAGGGCCGTAAAAGAAAGAGAAGTGACATTGGGGATTAGACAAACACACCCAAATTAGCTTCGGTTAAACATGCATATAATAATTTGGGTAAACGTGTAAGCTTTATGCCTATTTTTCCCATCATCATGGACACAACAGTAATTTCACTCATGTTTTAATAGTTTTCCAACATGACATCATGACTTTTGCGTAAACATATACGCCACTTTCGAGTCAGGTGGAGTGTTATCTCTACGCATTTTGAGCTATCCGCGTGTATGCGTATATGTCTACGCCATTAACGTCCACGTCATTCCGCGTGTCAAATCTCCCGTCATAAATGCCATTAACCCCAGTGACGGTTAGGTTTAGGGATGGTGTTGAGGTAAGTCATATATTTATATAACGTTAAGTCAACGGCGTTCATAAACACGCTGAAAGGCGATTATGCGTCTTGATAGCACGCCAAAAATGGAAATAGGAATTGGCGTGTCATACACACGCTACTTCATGAGATCAGTCTGTAGTTTTCCTTATAATAATGCATCATTTGCAAAAAGTAAAATGCATCAGTGTAGATGAGAGAATCATCTACAGCGTATGCGCGTTGTTCACACTCTGTATTATGGCCAAACATGCGCGCTTAAAATAGCATCTGAATGTACGCGCAACGCGCCACTGACATTAGACTTTTTTTTCTGGTCATTGGCGCAATTGTTTTCTGGAACGGCAAAATAGCACCAGGGATTGTTTGTGCCGAAACACGCCTCCTGTTTAGTGCTGAACCGCCCAGGGAGCACAAGTTCATTCCCTAGTTTGTGGAGGGAAAAGTCCGCTTTGCACAGGAGCAAAATATGAATGATACATGCAAGATAGGGCCCTAAGTGTTCAGGTATCCACAGGCTTTCAAACACACTCACATACAGTACACACATTGCCTACACTGAAATCATCAAAGGGACTCAACCTACTGTCTTGAAGCACTCTAGACGGTGGATACAATTCATCTATTCATTCAATGGCTCCTCAATGGCCTCATTCCTATCAGGGCTTTCCAAAGACACCGGGAACAACACAGACATGAGCTGCTCAGTGTCTCCCCCAGTACAGCAGCCCATAGTTTTCATCTCTTCCCCCTCAACCAGCTTCCAACAGCCCACCCCAAACAGTCAACCACAGCTATGTGGGTCCAAGGCCAGGGATTAAACACAGGTTCAAGAATCAATCCAGAGAAACGGAGACAAATCTCTGCCTCAGCCTAATCCCTCTCATATCTCGTTCCATTGTTCAGAGGTTTAATGAAGAAAGATATGGGGATATGGAGAAGGCAGACTTTAGGAAGAGGGATGATAGTGAGGCAGATGACAGGACTATGGGGATTGTTTGTAGGGTCAAACAGAAGGGTTACATTGGAGCGCATTGAGAAGATAAGAGTGCATCTCTAACAGTGGGGTTTCTTCTAACAGAAAGAGATTCAGTACAGTGTTACCTTAGGAGAGGGATGTCCAGTCCCGCACCTGATCGGCCACCAACCCCACACCTAAACTTCCAGGCAGATTTTAGTTTTAGAGCAGGTTGAGGTGTCTCTAACTGGACAACCCTGCAACCCCATAGACTGACTGGGCAGGAAGACAGTGGCCTTTGGTTCCAGACACAAGAAAAGCATGTCTACACAGAGAGCGATCTGCCACACTGGACAAGTTTCATTTCCACCAGTCTGAAATGCGACACATGCATTACAGCCAATTCCACATATTGTGTCTCCATCCTCCTCCACTGTCCTCCATCCCTTCCTTTCTCTCCCTCAGCAGGAGGAAGTAGAGGAGATTGGCCCCGCAGCTAAAGCCCCCTTTTCAGGCCCGCTGCTGGCGGGGTCTATCGGCACAGCACAGGGAGCGGAGGTGTCGCTTCTGCTATGGCATTTCGGACAGTATCTACTTCTCTCCGGGTGCGGAGGAGAAAGGAGAAACAGACGGGGTATTATCAGAGAGGGATGAGAGCAGCGAAGGCATTTTTGTCTTTTTATTCCCCTCCTAAGCCTTGGGCTTTGCTCCCAATCCGATTGGTCGATACAGCCAGGGATGTAAATGAAATGCAAAGAGGAATGAGGCTGGCTTCCCATGTTATGTGTATGTGTGTGTGCAACTGCACTGCTCTCTTTGGCTCCTTCTCTGAGTTTACCAATCGTGGGCCTCTCTCTTACCTCCCCTCTTTTGTCTCCAAGTCCCTGCGCTGCGATTTCATTTCTGTCTTGTCAGTGTCCATTCGCCTCTTTCTAGCTCTGTCCTATCGTGCCATATACACCATCCTATGTACTTTTTACTTCTCACTTGCTTGTCTTTGCTCCCTCTCGCTGGCTGGGTTCTCAGCTCTTATCTGCTCAGGCACCCCACATTCCAGTGTTGCTGTGGCTCCCTGCCTGCATCCACGGTCACGGCGATTCCATGGGTTCACACAATCCCTCAGATGAGAGAGAGGCAAAAAACAGGGACGGCAGGGACTGAGAGAAAGCAGCTCAGTGGAAGAAGAGATGAATGTACATGAGAAAGGGAAATGTTATATATATTGTGATAAGGTGTAGCTGACATCTTGAACTCAGGATGAAACCATTCTTCAAGAATACAAAACCAGCTGATTGCATTTAAAGGGATAGTTCACTTTGAAATTAATTTTTGGTATGTTTTAGCTTACCTCAAGGTCATCCAAGATGTAGGTGTCTTTGTTTCCGCAGTAGTTTCAATTTTGATATTTTTAGGTCAAACCGTTGTTGTCTGTCAGTCATATAATGCAGGTCTATGGTCACCACCTTAAAGAGCATGCACAGAAAAGTCCAAATTAAACATGATTTAATGACTCGTTAATGTAAGTACAAATTGATGGCCTAAGACACGAAACGAGCGGTTTGTGTGAGAAAACAAACAGTATTTATATCGTTTTTACCTTTTGAAACCAAAACCACAACGCGCCCGTGCCCTCAGATCACTTAGACGTGGCTGTGCTTACAAAAGGTAAAAACGATATAAATACTGTTCATTTTCTCACACAAACCGCTCATTTAGGCCATCAGTGTGTACTTACATTTAGGAGTCATTAAATCCTGTTTAATTTGGACTTCTCTGTGCATGCAATTTGAGGTGGTGACCATAGACCTCCATTATATGACTGACAAGAACGGTTTGACCTAAAAACATTAAAATTTAATCTACTACGGAAACAAAGACACCCTTGAGGTAAGCTAAAACATACCAAAAATTAATTTCAAAGAGAACTATCCCTTTAATAACGTATAACATTGGTTCTATAAAGGTTTGGTCTTCTACACTGGTCCTCAAGTGCCAACAACACAGAATCAAATTTGTTAATCTCACATAGTAAACAAAAACGCAATCAGAATGTAGAATTTAATAATCGTTTAGAATCAAATAATAGTTGGTGGACTCCCTAGGGGACTGTTGAAGACCTCTGCACTAAAGAGAATTAGAGAATTGTTTTGGAAAATGATGGGGTAGACAGAGCAGAAAAAAGAGACAGGGAAAAGGATGCTGCATTTTCAAATCTGTCCCAGATTAATGGGTCATTCTTAATCTCTTATGGTTGCGCCGAAAATTACCCCCCCTCCCCTCCCCTCAATGTCAATCTCAAATCTTTGTGATCCTAAAGTGAGAGAGAGACATGCCTGACAGCAGGGGGCAAAGAATAATTATTCAAAAAGAGAAGAGAGGGAAAGATTGATAGAGGTGGGATGAGGTTCAGCACACCTTTGATCATAAACTCAATGGATATTAACATATTGAAAGTGTGAAATTTTATTACAAAAGAGACACACACACACAAATATAGCAAATTCTATTAGAGTTCCACTTCAGATTCAGTTCAGAAGTTTGAGTCCCTTACATTCACTGAGGAAATTCTCCTCATGTAGGACAGGCTAAGGATTACAATAAAAATGAAATATTCCCTAATCCCTGATTTTTTATTTTTTGTTTAATAAATAATATTGTTAATGAAATTAAACTAAATGAATGTTACAATGATGCGGTTATGGATAAGTAGCTCATACACTACAATATAAAAGATCTTAGTATAAACCTCTCACATATTGGCCCATTTTGAGTTCATTTTGCTGTGAGATGAATCTCAGTGTTTGTAAAATAAACATGGTCTATGTATTTTCTCTTTTCTCTTTATATTTATAACCCTCCCTCTTACCTTCTTGTGCTATCTACACTTATGTGTCGAAGGGGTTTTGAAGGCTCTGAGTTGTTTCAGACAATTTCTGTCTCTTCCTGAGTCAACCCTTCCGCCTGTCTCTGACTTTGTCCCGCTCTTTCATGAGGTGTGAGATGACGGAGCGGATGGCTTTGCTCTGGGGATCGGTGGGTTCTCTCTGAAGGTAACGGCTGAAGTGGCGGATGCTGCGACTTAGGAGGGAATCCAGACCGTAACCTCTGCCCCCTGATTGGAGAAGACGTTCTGCGGCAAGAGCCAGGTTCTTATCCCAATTCGCTGGGTAGTCTACCTGGGCATCCACTATTTGACAATACAGCTGTTAATAAATAAATAAAAAAAACACAAAGACTTCAATTAATTTAACTTAAAGATAACGTCGTCTATAATTCATGTTAACTGCTGACTCGTTGTATTTTAAAAACCTTTTAAGTTTTATACGAATTTATAATATATTTGTATAAGATCCAAGATGTCCATGTCTTTCTTTCTTCAGTCGAAAAGAAATTAAGGTTTTTGATGAAAACATTCCAGCATTTTTCTCCATATAATGGACTTCATTGGGAACCAAACGGTTCAAGGTCCAAATGCGAATTTCAGTGTTGCTTCAAAGGGCTTCAAACAACACCAGACGATGAATAAGTGTCTTATCAAGCGTAACGATCACTCATTTAAAAAAAAAAAATAACAAAGTTTAAGTTTTATAAAAACTTAAACTTAAAACTTATAAAACTTAAACTTTGTAATTTTTTTTTTTTAAATGAGAGATCGTTTTGCTTTATAAGACCCTTATTCATCGTCTGGAATTGTTTAAAGCCCTTTGAACAGTTTGCAGTTTGCACTGAAACTGTCTTTTGGACCTTGAACCGTTTGGTTCCCAATGAAGTCCATTATATGGAGAAAAATCCTGGAATGTTTTCATCAAAAACCTAACTTCTTTTCGACTGAAGAAATAAAGACATGGATATCTTGGATGACGTGGGGTGAGTAAATTATCAGCAAAAGTTTTTTTTAAAAGTGAACTACTCCTTTAACATTAAATTCATTTTTTTGAATCATGACTATATTTTCTATGATTAGTCAAATACAAATCTGTAATACAAATACTGTAATCTCACGAGACGCATCATTCTGACATGTTCATTTCCTGAAGGTAATAGGTACAGTAGTAGCAAAAGAAAAGTGTTAAAGGTTTTAGGTAAGCTTTTAGGTTTTGATTCTGTGTATAATGCTGCATTAGTGCTGCTGTACTGATATTCAGTGAACATCGTTTTTTTTTACATTAAAACATGGAAAAATTCAACATACACATTTCTATTGGGTGAATTTTGGATAAGTTGAATATCCTGAAACATTAATATAGTGCTGTTTTGCAAGCACTGCAATTCCAAAAATGTATGATGTAATTTCCTACTCACATAGTAAGAAATCTCATAGAGACGGGCCTGCTGTTCTCTCTCCGTGTTCTCAGCCAGGTCAAATAGGAAGAAGGCTGTCTTCATCCTAAAAAGTAAAAGCACCTAAGTATAAACATGTAGCTATATCTATGAGGGTCTTGTGTCCCTAATACACAAGACCGAACAATAAAGCTGAAAGTGATGAGGGCAGTATTACCTGGCCTGCCACATCTCCTCATTGGCAACTCTCTCCCAGGAGCCAGGGTGGAAGCTGATAGGGTGGAAAACAAAATGTTATGTCATTTCATTTGTTATTTAGGGTGTGTTCACACTTGGCATGTTTGGTTTGATTAAAACGAACTCTGGTGTGATTCCTCTGTTAGTGCGTTTCATTTGAATAAGTGTGAACGCTGCCATCCGAACCCTGGAGCACCAAACAAGCGGACCGAGACGAGACGCTGAAAAGATCGATCTCGGTCCGCTTCCAAACCAACTCTGATGCGTCATTTAGCCTAGCACACAGCATTGTTTTGGAAGTTAGGTAAGAAATATACATAATAAAAACCGACCAGTCCGGTTGTGAACATATCCATATGCATTTGGGTTTGGTGTTAAAAATTGGCAACGTGAACCCTAAGCGGACCAGAACTAAATGTTGTTGGGTTTTTTTTTTTGGTCTGAACCAAGCAAACCGCACTACAAGTGTGAACGCACCCTTAGATAATCTTCTAGATAGCACGTCAAAGCTTCCTCTATGTGAAACTTTCAGAAAAAGAAAAGTTGATGAAGTTTATGTATATTCAGATGGCAGTCTTGTCGAGTACAGACGTGAAATACAAGTTTAATCCAGCGAATCATATTCTGCATATCTTCAAACCATACAACAGCTGATCTTCAACCTCGCCTGTCTTTGGAAGCTCTCTCTCTCTCTCTCTCGGTCTCTCTGGTGAACGACCCATTTCTGCATTTCTTCCTTTCCACTACATCGCTCATAAACGTGCGGCCTCTCCTTCAAAGGAATATTTTAGCGTGTGACTTCCCCGCTAATATTTGGCTGGCAGGCAGGGATGGACACGCTTGTAGTGGGTGAGAGGAGAGTAATGTCACACCATTCAACCCCGATTAACTTGCTGAATACCAGCCGGCTGCAGAGAGCCTCAGTGCTGGAGACTAGAACTAATTTCACTTTATACACAGATATTGACACGCCGCAGTTTAGAAAGTCATTAGGGTGGGGTCAGCGGACTAATAACGACTTTGAAGCTGGAAACGAAGGCTGTCTGCGCAGCATGGAGTCAGAGCAGTGTTTAAGTACACTTTAATATCGGTGAGGACTGAAAACACTTCAATGGAGATGCATGAGGGGTGAGAATAATGCTCGGGCGCACCTGGTTATGATGCTCAGACTAGTGAGGAAGCTGACGGTAAATCCACTAGTATCATTTCAAAAATTAATTTACATATGCATTTATTCATTGGGCACATGCTTCATTTTATCGGTATGTGTGTACCTTGGGAATCGAACCCATGACCTACGCAACTCTAGTTCTCTACAGTGTACTGCCCTAAAAAGGCAACAAGCTGAGCTGACATTGGAGTTAAGAAAAATTGATTCAAAGTTTTGGAGCTGAATTTTTATCAACCTCAGAAATTTCTTTATTTTCTAACAAAATCAGAGCAAAGCTGAACCAAACCAAACAGTTTGACAAAATTTTTAATTGACCATCTTGCCTATGTAGGGAACTATGTATCATAACGTTTTTATCTCATAGTATATGGTTAAAAACAACTGAAGAATGTAGTTTATAAGTACCAAAAAGTATTAAAAGTCAAGTTTTTTGGATATGCACCATGGAAGTACAATGTGAATGCAATGGTACATGAATCATGGTATATATTATCAAGCCAGGCTGGAAACACGTGACTCTGCCTACATTTCTGCTAAACCTAGAATACGACGCTCAAAGTAAATTTCTCCATTGCAGATGACTTTCTTTTTTTTTAAACCTAGTGTTTGTGGGTACATTTTGGCTACATGACATTGCGACGCTTGTAGCATGTTTTATGACACTTTCGATGTGAAATGTCCCGTGACTGACACTAAACAGCTTGTTCAATTGACTCTTTTATTACGTTGGTTGTTGCACGAATCATGGCAGTTCGGAAATGAAATGCTCGGTGAATGGTGCTAAATGGTTAATGCTGTATCATGTGAGCTACTGAGCAATTCTACTCATCAGAAAAGACATATATGGATCTGGTAATGTGATGCAAAATGTATTAGTTTACAAATCATGCACTTTTTTGTCATGACATAGTATTGTGCAAGGAACTGTACAAGTTTAACTCTTAATTCATCACTGATCTGCTCCTTTAATCGTAATTAGTTTGAAACTGAATCAAATTTGTTGGTATTTTACTGCATCTCGTGTTGAGTGGAAACATTTCAATCTACATATTAACCGAACATATTATGGCCTACAAGGTCATAAAGTCATTCCCTAGTTAACAACAAACAAAAATGACGTGCTACCTGTCATGTGACTGGCTCCAGTTGTAAAGGTCAAGAGTTTTTTGGGCCCATTTTTCAGGGTCAAAAGGGGTCTTGACAGGTACCAACTGCTCACAGACGCCCCAGGGCCAACGAGAGAAACTCCTCTCCCAGCTGGGGTCACCCTCAGTTAGACCGATACACACAAACACAGGCCTGCTGTAGACAAACCCAGAGCAAAAACTGACCATCAGGCATGACGACACGACATTGCTCTGAGTGGTGTAAAACTGCGTAATAATGTTCATTAGTCAAACTATAACAACACATGTTATTACATTATATAATGCTTTACTGATCTATGTGTATATTCAAATAATGACCTAATGATCTAAATTTAATGTACATTCAAATCGCAAATTACGTTGCGATATATATATTCATTATTAAAGGTACATAAACCAAAGATCTCTTTATGTGGAGCATAATGAACAGTAACAATTGCTTGTTGTTGTTATAATGTAAACAATTAACTTATTATTAAAAATAGCTTCTATAGAGTGTTTGGTAATACTGTATTTTACAGTGTCCTTATTACATATTATATGTAGTTATTATAAAAAATAAGTATAATTTATGCATAATGACATGCCTAAACCAAAACCTAATCCTAACCCTATAGTAAGTAGACATAGTTAATTAATATTACTCAGTACTTAAATGCATAATTACACTTTAACACGGACACCTTCAAATAAAGTGTAACCGAGTGTTTGTCTGCTGTTTGTTACCTCTTTTCTTGTAATTTTTATTTTTTTTTATTTTTTTGTAAATCTCTGCATAATCCAGCCAAGATGAAAGATGAAAAAGATACTATAGAAACAGGTACTATTTCATGTGATATTATAAAAACTGAAGTATTTAGACTGGGAAACTGAGCAAAAGCTTCTAAGCATGCGTGTTTTGTTAGAGCCATTGCAGATCTTGAATCATGGGATACACCTGGCAGGAACATAAGACTGTCTCTCTTAACAAAACAAGCAGGTTGCTGCTTGTTTTTCTCAAGTATTTATTCCTTATTCCCTCTGTTCTGCTGCCCAGGGAAATGATAGTAGTGTTTATTGCCCCCCTCTTACAGGCCGGGAGCTTTCCCAAGGAAACACTGCCGTCTGGTGGAGGGAGGCAGAACAGATTGTGCATTTGCTTTGCTCTTCCAGTGTGGTATAAGGGCTGATGGAAGATGTGTAATTGGTTTGCTCTAGTCTAGTGCATTCAACAAATAGTAAAAATATACACAAATTACTATTTAAATGAGAAAAAAAAGTGGATATAGATTGAGAATGTGAACATAGACCTGTGTGTGTTAATCTTACTGCATATTGTGCTTGAGAAACTGCTCAATGCTGAAAGTTTCCTTTTCTGTGGCGTTGACCGGATCCCACCAGCGGCCAGGAAACGTGACTCCGGGCAAGTGCTTCTGGAGTTTTGCCACATACCAGCTATACGTCATCATCTGCATAATATAATGACAGTTTTTACAAGTTTACAATTGAAAAACAGTGATAGAGTAGTATATGGCTGAAATAAATTAGCTGGATTACAGACCTCCTGGTCAACAAGGCTGAGGTCGGGCCGGACACCCTGGCAGTAGTGGAGGTAGCGAAGCGTGTTTCCCGGGAGATCACCTCGAGTCAGAACCAACGAGCCCTCCGGAAATGACATCACAACCTCACGGGCAAACCTGTCCACGACGTCATTACCGCTCTGATCACACTCTCTGTCCACACACACAGAGACAGACAAAACACTTTGAATATATCTAGTATAAAATGTAGCATGAAAACAGTGTTGCTTGAGTGGCAGTCAGGGGTTAAAAGACAGTGTTTTGTATAATGTATAATTATCTAGATACAGCAAAGGTTTTTTTCAGAGTTATTATCACTACCTAAAAATGTAAATATTAAATTAATAAAACATTAAATTATAAAATTAATAAAAAGTACAAATTTAAAAATAAAATTACTATTAAAAACATTTTTTGCTAATTGAAAAAGATTAAATAAAATAAAACCAATATTTGCAAGAAAAACGGAGCGAAAATGTAAAACTAAAATAAATGCAAATAAATAAATAAAAATATTGCTAATGACATAAAAGCATAAAAAATTACATAAAATTTAACAAAACAAAAAATAAAAATAATTTTTCTAAAAAGCCAATTCAACAATAAATAAAAACTATACTAGAATTTAAATTATATTGCCCCAAATATGATCCTCTTAAGAGAGGCTCTTCCTACAATATAAAGCTAAATATTTTCATGTATAAAACATAACACATTTTAATTAAATATTGACAACAAAATTATATATTGCTTTATAAATTAAACAATGGCCTTTTATATTGTTATTGCAAACTAAAGAAAATGTAATTTTATAAATATTAAATATCAATAAAATATTAATATCTAAAAATACCACCTAACGACCCCCTTTTATTTATTTATTTATACATTGTTGCACATTAATAAATATGATTAACTACTGTTCTTTTAAGAATTAATTTAGTGGGAAAAACATACCTGGACTTTTAATTTGTTTATTCTTTATAGAAAATGTGTGTGCATGGTAAACAAAAGGGATTACACAAGTAATTGTTGCTTTTTTATGTGTGATTGTGGAGTGTCAAAGCGCACGAGAGTCACCAGCAGATTTGAGTAATTATTGAATCTCCGAAATCCCTATTTTTGGCTAATAATGCCTGTTTGTTAAAGTCTTTAGTGAAAAAAAGTTTGTTGTAGGACCTTTAGGAAATGTGCGAGCTGATACAAATGTTTGCGAGCTGAGTGTGTAAAATGCACATTTATTCACAAATACTTCAACCACATCAGCAGTGGTGTTTACTCTGAAGAGTTTGCACAAAAGTGTAAGGATCCATGACATTCTCTTTCATCCAGCTGTTCTGAAGTCAGTTCCTGTGTTTCTCTGTGAGCAGTGATGAGCTGGAACATCTCTCGGCTGTAATCAGTCTCGGACAGGTGTGATGAGCGCTGACAAGAGCGTCAGTCTCAACATTGATCAAAGCGCCAGTTTGTGTCAGCGATGTACCAAACCTCACCGCTCTAATCTACATGACTGCCGTGGCTAGGATGTCTAATCAAGCACAGAACTCAGCTGCTTTAATCTGCATGACTAGCGTGGCCAGGACGGCTAATCAAGCATAGAGTCAAAGCTGCAGAAGAGTGCAAGAGAGCTTTTGCTTTGATGTGTGTTGAAGCATGGAGGAAATGAGCAATTCAGAGAGTGACTGCCATGGTCTGGATGATCGACCACAAATATACAAAAAAACTCAAACGTTCGAAGGTTCAATGAGTCTGTGATGTTGCAAAATAATGCAGCACTGAACATAGATAAGCCCACTGCAAAATAATCAATATTCAGACATGATATCTACATTAGTTTGGATTTCCTAGATCTACGATTACAAAAATGGATATTTATGCTTTGTTATTTTCTGCACTGATTATGGGGAGAAATCATGGTTGAATTCAATAGATGGAATGGACATAAATATTATAAGTAAGGGCTAATGGCAGGTGGCGATATGAGAAATTATACATTAAATATCTCTATGTAGGAAACCTATGGTTGTCAGTGACACAACTACACAAAATATTTGACCTGATATTTAGCCTTTTGATGATATTCAATATCATATGTCTCAATATCATATATATCAATGTCCATCAAGCTCACAAAGGCAGCATTTATTTGACCAAAAACACAGTAAAAAAAGTTTAATATATTGTAAAATATTATTACAATTTTAAAAAACTGTTTTGTGTGTTTTAATATATTTTAAAATGTCATTTATTCCTGTGATCAAAGCTGAATTTTCTGAAAAAGTCTTCAGTCACATGATCCTTCAGAAATCATTCTTATCTAATATGCTGATTTGCCTCGCCATATTTACTTAGACATACACAAAACTCTTAATGCAAAAGGCCACATGGGGACTTTCTGAGAACACATTTAAATGTGAACAAAAGCGAATTATCAGAAACCGTCTCATCTTAACACTTTCACACATGAAATGAGTTTCAGTTCAGCTTCAAAGGGCTTTAAACGACACCAGACGATGAATAAGGGTCTTATCTAGGACCCTTCGAGTCATGACTCGAAAAAAGATTTGTTCATTTAGATGAATGAGTTCGAACAGGAGAGTCACGAACGCTCATCACAGAACAGAGCAAGGCGACCATTTGTGCTTATAAAACTTAAACTTTTTTATTTCTTTTTTAAATGAGCGATCGTTTCGCTAGATAAGACCCTTATTCATCGTCTGGAATCGTTTAAAGCCCTTTGAACAATTTGCAGTTTGCACTGAAACTCTCATTTGGACCTTGAACCGTTTGGTTCCCATTGAAGTCCATTATATGGAGAAAATCCTGGAAGGTTTTCATCAAAAACCTTAATTTCTTTTCGACTGAAGAAAGAAAGATGTGGACATCTTGGATGACATGGGGGTGAGTAAATTGTCAGCAAAAGCTTTTTAAAGCGTGAACAACTCCTTTAAGGTATTTTAAGAAGTAAATAAAAGACGTCTGAATCAGTAGCGTCCACTGGCACCCTGTGTACAGCAAGTGACTGTGTGTGAACGGTTTACCTGTGGTTTAAACGGATCATGTGTGTGATGAGGCCTGCCGTGAGTATCCAGGCTCCTGTGTTCCACACCGTCCCCCGACTCAGACGCCCGTCCAGCCAACACACAGCCCAGCTCAGACCCAGACCAGCCAGAACACACAGCCCAGCATCAGCCTGCAGCCAGAAGCGCTCCACCTACAAACACACATTGAAGTGAAATATCTTACATTATAGAAGACATTGTTAGAACTGTGTTTTAAACTTGAACTCACCACTCCCAGTAGAAGAGGCTTCTCGATGTTCAGGTTTGCTCTCCAGGCAAAGAACACGGAGTAGATGCCCACCATGGTGACAATCAACCAGACAAAAACACAGCGCAGTCTGGGGACACATACAGCAAAAAAATATGAATACATTGAAACTACATTTGATTTACAATATGACAGCAAAACTATTGGTATGTACTGTATATAGTCAGTTGCCTGTGAGCTTTAAAGGTATAGTTCACCCAAACATTAAAATTATGTCATTACTTACTCGACCTGAAGTTGTTTGTTCTGCTGAACACAAAAGAAGATATTTTGAGGAATATGGGTATCCAAACAGTTGATGGACCCCATTGACTTCCACAGTAGGGAAAAAACTACATTGGAAGTCAATGGGGTCCATCAAATCTTTGGTTACTGACATTCTTCAAAATATCTTCTTTTGTATTCAACAGAAGAAAGAAATTCACACGGGTTTGAAACAGCATGAGGTTGAGTAAATGATGAAAGAATTTTCATTTTTGGGTGACCAATCCCTTTAAGTAAAATCAGATTAACATAATTGCTTTTTTTACTGAATATCAGAATGAATGTGATATTGATATTGCTTTCATTCATATCTATGAAAAAGAAGATCATTTCTAGTAATGAACATTTATGGTTAGCTAATTTGTTGCTTTTAGTCAGGCCGACATGTTTGAAGGGATAGTTCACTAAAAAATGAAAAAAAAAAAATTTGTCATTAATTACTCACCCTCATGTCGTTTTAAACCCACATGAGGGTGGGGGTGTGTGTCAGTAAGTTTTTTATGTTTTTTTTTAAGGAATTAATACTTTTATTCAGCAAGGATGCATTACATTGATCAAAAAGACAGTGAAGACATTTATAATGGTATTTATTTCAAATAAATAAAAAAAAAATCATGTCATTATCTATAATCTAAATAATGGCAAAAATAAATCTTTAAAACAAATGTATTAAAATATACAATTATTTTAAATGTAGTAATACTTCACAATATACTGTTTTTACTCTATTATTGGTCAAATAAATGCAGTTTTCATGAGCATAAGACATTTGTTTCAAAACATTTAAAAATGTAACCAACCCAAACTTCTTGTTGAACATCTGTGCCACTAGCAGCACCACACGGAGTTGAAAAAATTATAAATTCAAACAGGTTTCCGACAAATCGGTAGTTCTGCCATTGGTTGAGCCAGAAGTGGACGTTTTGAGAGCTGCACACAGCCATAGTGCTTACATTTACAGCAGTCTCTCCACATGAGCTAAACTTCAGAATCAGATTGTGTGGTTTTTCTTCACTTCAATGGCACTTCTCATTCAGTGATGTCTTACCTGCTCCGGGAAGACAGCAAAATGCCTAGAAGTGTCAGTGCTAGGACTGGGGAAGACAGATCACTCACACAGTGATTCCACTGAGCCCTGAGACACAAGAGACACACTTATCAATACACCCACTATGTCTTTGTGATGGACAAAGACTCAAACTCAAAGTGCTGTGAGTGAGTGAGAGTGTCTGAAAGTGTTTTAAGTGCAGTTTTGTGACAGCTTTCACTTCTATCTGTATCCCAAACCCAGTCAATGGCCAATTTCCCTGCCGAAAGAGATAGTGCCCTGCCTGTGCCTTAATACCCATCTCTCTCTGACAGCTTATTTAGGCGTCGTGTGAAAGCGTGCGTGTGTGTGAGAGAGTGTTTGAGCTCCTTATGGCAGGTTTATGCTGTGACATGCTTGTTGTGTTCCCCTCTCTCGTTCTCACCTGTCCATCATGCTATGTGGCAGCTGTGGGGGGTGATGGGAAACGGCTGATTGGTACTAGCGGGACATAAGCTAAGCTGTGTCTCTGGGGACACCCAAACGTTTGATGAGGGTGGGCTGAGGGGACGACCCGAGCCTCGCATGATGTCTTACAACGGCGTCATCAGAAGCGCTGTGAACATCACTGATCATTTCAAAGCCAGTGCAACACAACAGATGTGTTATTCCTAGCAGGTTCAGCTTTGCTGTTTTAGAGGGAAGGCGGATCTACAAGAACTAACTATTAACAGAGTCATTAAAGCTAACACTTAATATAACTCAGGAAAAAGGTATGGTAAATATGTTGTATAAATTAAGATGTTACATTTGAAAATCTCATTTTTCATTGCACAATTAATCAACAGTCAAGATGAACTAATTGTGAAATGTATTGATTACAACATCAAATTCCAACATTACTGATGTATAAAATAAGTTCAGATTGTTTAGTTCCATAAATTATGTAGTTAAATTTATTTCACTGTACATGCACATACTTAATTTTATTGTGTATTTGCTAAAAAAAAATTTAATATGGTAACCACATGGGTTGACGTTAGGCTTAGGGGTTGGTTCAGGGTTAGAACCTAGTTAAAACCCAGTTATTGTAATTACTATAATAAATACATAGTATCTTGAAGAAAGAGTCCTTGGGGAATCTTGGGGAATATGGTGAGTTGTTACCTTGCACAAAATGATTATTTTAATTTAAAATAGTAATATTTTACAAAATGATCCCGTTTACGCGGATCCGCGAAAACGATTAAAAACACTTTATTATTCATTCCAAGCCAGTAGCGGTGTTATGTTGCAAGAATCACTACGCGCCTATAGCCTAAACACATAATGCGCATGCGCATGACGTCATCAATATCACAAATTGGTGTTTTCAAAAGGTTACGTTTTCAGGCCTCCAAAACGCCGTTGTCATGTCAAAGAAATGGCCTAAATGCATAAAAAGTTGACCATTTTTAGTTGAAAATGGTGTTGTGTAAATGGCCCCTAAACTGTATTAATGTATTAAAACTGTTTTTGGTCACTACATCATTCTCATACTCATATTTCCGTCTGGAAATTAAAATAAAATCATTCATCAAATCAATTTTGTTACACTCACCGGAACATATTTTGGAGGCTCAAATTTTCATCTGTTTTTGCCTGAAGCCAAAGAAATCCACATGTGGTGCATTAGCTTCAGCATGAAAACCTCATATCCAAGTACATATACTGTATTTAATCGTTTTTAAAGCAACACCAAGCAAATTTTCCTCTGCGGTCGCCCTACAGGTTAGAAGCGGAATTGTCCATTTCTGCTGTCGTAAATAATTTAGCCTAACGCATCCTACTGTCGCGTACGCATATGCTCTCTGTTTATCCAGCACCGGCTTTGGAATCAACAATGGCCACAGACAAGGTAGACTATGATGCTTGATTTTATGAAAGTGTAGTTGTAGTCTACTGTCGAGTACGCTCCACTTATCGGCAATTGTAACGCTTGCCGTAAAGCAAGTCAAATATGTAGTTTTCTTAGGTCTCATTCTTAGGACTACAGAAACGCGACCCGATCTGACAATCTTACATAGTGTGGATATACAGGGGTTGGACAATGAAACTGAAACACTGGCCAATGTTGGAGGTTTCACATCTATATGCCTGGCGGCCAATCTTCAGAGTGAAGCACGGGTGGATCAGTGATGGTTTGAGCTCCAATATCATGACAATCCTGATTGTATTTGATGGACACGACACTGCCGAGGACTACCAAACCCTTCTGGAGGATCATGAACCGTGTATCAGCATGATCATGCACCAACACACACAGCAAGACTTGTGACAGAAGGGTTTGATGAAGATGAAAGTGACGTTGAACATCTCCCATGGTCTGACAGTCACCAGATCTGAATATTATTGAGGTGTTTTGGAGGAGCGAGTCCACCAGCATCATATAGTGACCTGGACACTGTTCTGGAAGAGGAACGGCTCATAATCCCTCTGGTCACTGTGAAGGACTTCTATCTGTCAATTGGTGCTGTATTTGGATGCAAAATGAGGCCCTTACCATTCTAACAAATTATTGTGTTGTGAAACCAGGTGTTTCAGTTTCATTGTCCAACCCCTGTATCAGATAAAGGACCACAAAGCGGAGGCATAAGTGCATTTCACCATGTCACGACTTGATGAACCACTGAAACTATTTTGAAAACGTTATTTTAGGGTAAAAATCTTACTTAGTGTTGCTTTAAACGATAAAAGTCTAATGAATCTGTGTGTACCAGGCTGAAGGTGCCATATTCAGCTCGGAGCAGGTGTGTGAGGAGGCCGTGGAGAGACGTCTGGTCTCCCCAGCTCCAGCGAGCTCTGTTGAGGTAGGAGGAAATGGGCAGGTAGATGTAGGGCACAAAGCCAGCCAGAAAACACATCCCCAAAGACACCAGACCGATAAAGGACAAACCCTGTGGGAAATACATGTCACTTGTAATGGATAGATTCTTTTAAATGCCAAATGTTCAGCATTGACATAACACTTGGACAATACGCCACTCATCTGGGAACAATTTCCTCTCCGGCTTTGCACTGCTTTCGACTGTAAGTAGCAGTGCCTTATAGATCTTCAGTTATGAATACTAATCTCATCGTTTTTAACTATTAATACACACTAATACCAAACTAAACACCAAAAAGTTGATTTAAAATACATAGTAATTTGTTTATATACTGTATTTTTTTTCCTTTTTTATGGCTTTCAAAAGTCTAGCATTAATCCATACCTTAATGTACATTTCTCTAGACCTGTTATATTTATTACATGACGTGCGGCATGTAATCATATTACCAAATATGAAAGGTTTTTAAATCGCACTATTAATTTATTTACCTTGTGAAAAGCTGACAAATTAGGCGTTGAACCCTGTACCGCTGAGTGATTATCAATACTTACATTATGAGTGTAGAGGTGCAGGAGGGCCCAGGGAATAATGATGATGACATACAAGACCAGTGTGTGCTGATTACACAGGCTCAGCCCACAGAACAGCGCCCCCCATTGAGCAAACTGAGAAAAGCAACAACAAAAAATATATGAATGCATCTTACACCTTGAGAATTACTCAAGCAGGCTCAGCATTACTAGGGTGACCATATTTTGATTACCGAAAACCAGGACACTTGGCCCGGCAAACAGATGGGCCTACTCAAATGATACTCGAAGTTTACTCAAAGATACCTTATTAATTTTAATACATTTAAAGTAGGTTATGCCTCCTCTGTATGGATAGAAAATTGTTATATTGTTATTTGAAAACAGGACTTGTCCTGGGAAAACAGGACAGTTGGTCACCCTAGCATTACTGAGTATCAAATGGTTTGGACTGCAGTAGGAATTCACCGTAATTTCAGCCACCGAATATTCCCGGCCAAAATAGCTACTTTTGGTTTTGATCCACATGGTTTTGTAGGGCTAAAATCAGTGACTGAAACAAACATTTTATCTAATGGCACATTTAATCTCGATTTCGTAAACAAACCATGGATAAGCTACAACGGTTCACTGTGTAGACACTAGCTGTGGATCGACAATATTAATTTCTGGATTTTAATGATATGGTTTCTTCTAAAATCTTTAAGTTTGAGCTGTTTTTCTGTTGATTATGCATGAACAAAACTCCACAAAATTTTGGGGCATGCCTTCTGCCGCCCAATAATAGCAAAAAGCAATTGTCCTGTCAAATTTATTGCTAAATTCAAACAGTGAATGTCGTTTTGGTGCTCTCTAATACAGCTGTAGCGCCTCAGTTCAAGCGGTAGAATGGATAAAGCGCACATAAACCGATCATCTCATCTCACAGCACAAAATAAACATGGGTGAACACCAGAAGGTATGTTACCTAAATGAATCTCGTCTCACATAATCGCTCATTCGGTGTTTAAAAGACGTCAATTAAACGGCTTGTAGGCTCTACAATGTCACTTTAAGTTACATTTATATCAATAAAGCCATTCAATGTCCAAAAACTCACTAGTTAGCTAGACAAAAATAACTCGATAGAAGAGCATTCTGCTAAATATATGCATTGTATTACATATTCATTATATTTGAACTTAACCTATTAGTGATGTCTTCTTTATTTAATGTACGTTTAAATAAAGCCGTCATGTTATTAGTTTATTGTTGTTTAAATGTTAATATTTCGCCAAAAAACTGGAGTAGAAACTATTCTGTTATGTAAAACGTTGATATAAAAACAGCAATTTAAATGTTTGTACAAACTCAGTTAGCTATTTGAGTGTTGATTATTGAATAAGTTTGATTAATTCATTGATTATTAATTTATTTTCAGTTTCGTTTTTCAGCCAAGTGCATCCTGAATTTTCGGTTTCGACCCAGAATTTCAGTGAATCACTAGACTGTAGTACCTTCTTCTTCTGCTGAACACTCTTTGCACAGTGGAAACAGGCTGAGAGGGAGAAGAGGACGCCCACAAACAAGTTGTTAAGAGAAAAGACTTCAGCCACGACCGACCACTGCCATACCAGCCTGGACACTGCAAACACTCCACCAGCCAGGACGGCCCCTGGACCAGGTCCCGCCACCCTGCGCACAGAGGAGGCGAGAGTGAACGACTCCTCCCCGAGTTAGGGTGTTTAAAAACAGGACTGGTTTTAAAATGTTCTCTCACATAACGTAATCCATAGTGAGTGTGCACACACTTCTATGCTGCAAAATAAACAGGTAAGTAAAGGAAACGGATTCTAAATTCTTAAATCTATAATCAATTTGAATCATCTATTATTTTCATTTTTTATTATTTTTAATGAAAATCAATTTGATTAGAATGCTAAATACATTTTTTAAATAAAAATATTAAATATTAAATAAACATATTTAATAGTGATGGTGTTATGCTGTGGGATGTTACATCGATTGAGTTCAGTTTATATAATTTCACCAGAAAAATGGCAGATCAATAGATGGATGTAACGTGTTCCTTACAAGACACAAAACTGTAAAGATTAAACCACAGAAAACTATGTCAGATAAGTCTGCGCTGAAAATAAAGGGCAAAACAATGGGCTATTATAAGTAGAAAGATAAGAAAGGATTGCAAAATTAGTCAGTGACCTTTAGGAAGCCTAATGTCCAAATGAAAGTAGAGTCATTTCTGTATTCGATTCTTCTGCTTATTTTGATCACCTGCAAAATGTGAATACATCCAGACCAATAGGTGTCACTACAGAGTCCAAATCCACTGGTACTACTGGGACAATTAGGGACCAGCTAAGCATAAACAAAAACACACCTTAAAAGCTACACTATGCAACTTTACCCGTTAAATAAAATAGCATCTTGAGGAAGAACATTGTTTTGGTTGTGCGCCTCTGAATGTTTGTGGTTTGAGGCACCGGTGTATACCGGATACATCTATCAGACTCAGAGTATATCGTATATCAAGAGTGGATGGACCAAAAAATTGGTTTCTTCTGCACATTCTGCAGATGCTTGTCACTATGAATGATCCATGGTACATTTGTGTGACAAACTTTCCTCTTCATGCTACCCACGGCCAGAGCTACTGTATTTTTCTGGATATGAAGTGACACACATGGGCGAATGACGCATGCAATTACCTGCAAAATCTGTCCCAAAAACTCTACAATAGCCTTTAAATCATTATTATAGGTTTATCAACATTTATTTGTGTACAGTAGGTGACTTTAGGGGTTTCTCATTAATAATATTTTGAGTTGTAAACCATCTAATCTAAGAAATGAAAATATTACAAACATTAACATCATCATAAAGCTGCTTTGAAATTATTTTTATTGTGAAAAGCACATACATTTAAATTGGCTTGACTTTACTTATAAGTAAAAGCATGTACTTACTGTAGGTTTAGGGTTAGTTGCTTGTAATTATGCATAATTTACTGCTACTATGTAACGTCTAACAATGGCACTAAGATAAAATAGCTTCTTAATGTTTATCAGAAAAAAAAATCTACAAAAAGTGTCAAAAAATTGCTTTTATGTAGAAGCATGCTAGACCGTATGCTTCAAATTGTCTAGGCGCAGAAATCTGATGTAGGTATACCAGTGGTTTAGCTGGATGTTAAACAATTCCTGGTTACCACAATATAACTGCAGATTCACCTGCAATGCATATAAAATTAGGACTTGACTTCGACTTTGGACTCCAGCTGAGAAGAATGAGATGGGACAAAAGGCCAGGCGAGGTAAAAAGAAACGATGGATGAAAGGATGAGCGAGTGGGGTCAGCCTCGTCTGTTTGAGACCAGAGAACACAGAAATGAAGGAAAAGAATAAAAAAAAGTTGGGAAGACGTAAAAGAGAGAGAGCGGCAGAGGGGGAAAAAAATCTCAGCCTGGTCTCCAACACACTGGCTTGGAAAAATTTTAGCGGGCTTGACAATTAAAGGGGGGTGGTGGTGGGGGGGGGGGGGGGGAGCGAGGCAGTATGGCCCTCTCCTCATTGTGCCGAGTGGCTTAGAGTCCTCATCAGCCTATCAGCTAAGTGACAGGCGGAGAGCTGCTCTATTCAGCGGCACAGATACACGCCGCGGGCCAAGCGGCTGCCAGCTCCCTCCTGACCCCGCAATCCCTCGCCGCTGACAGCTTCAAGCTCCATGGCAAATTAGGCGCTCTCACATTACAATCGCACAAGACAGATTCCATTAACGGTATCTGAAATTGAGTAGAGAGCAGGGCCCTCGCCTTATCAGACCTGACTCATAAGCAGCGCCGGCACCGCCGAAGCGCTCGCGCGCTTAATCACGAGCCATGATACCATTTAGACGTTTCCAGCGCGCCTCTGCCTGCCGCTGTGATAGTCGGCCACAAAAGAGGCTGATGAGACTTAGGGGAAGGGGAACAATGGAGCTTTCGCAGGGAAAGCAAAGTAAGTCAGGAAAAAGGGGAGCAGAGAGAAGGATACGGCGGGAAGAAAGGAGGAAGGATCTCGCGCTTGCTGACTACTTCTCTTTTCTCTTCTCCCGCTTTTTTTGCACACTACTTGCCTTTCGTCGCTTTTCTTTTCCTGTCTCGTACGAGACGAGGCCGTGCGTGTGTGCGCGCGGTTGGACTAATAGCTTGTCAGAAGCAGGCGGGGGGATTCTTGGTGATACGGCTTCTCTCTAGCCCTCTTTACTGCTCGCGCGCGCTAAGGAGGGGGGCGAGGAAAAGACGAGGCTCAGTGAAGGTGCGGACCCCCCACACCCTTGATTCTGCTCCCGCTGAGAGACAATTAACCCTCAGCACACGTCAGAGGAAGGGTTATAGCAGGGGTGCTATCTGGAGGTAGGGGTCCTCGGTACCAAATATCACATCCTCCCGTCTTTGACAGTCGTTTGATGTCCTCCTCCTCCTGTCTTTATTCCTCTGAGGGGGCCTGACACGGAGCTCTTTAGGAGTGTCTGTCTGTTTGAAGGAAGGCATGTGACACGTCCTTCATTCCAAAACATGTAGGACCACCTGGGTCTCCCTCTCTCTCTCTCTCGTCAGTGATTAGGTGAGAGAGTGACACTTGCGTACAGCATCACAGGCTTGTTTGCTGCTATCATGTCTGCTGTGTGTGTTAGTGTCCCTGTAGTACTGTTCACACCTGGTAGGAGTAGTTCACTTTTAAACAAACTTTTGCTGATAATTTACTCACACCCATGTCATCCAAGACATGGTCGAAAAGAAATTAAGTCGAAAAAAAATTAAGGTTTTTGATGAAAACATTCCAGGATTTTCTCCATATAATGGACTTCATTGGGAACCAAACGGTTCAAGGTCCAAATGAGAGTTTCAGTGCAGCTTTAAATGGGTTTAGACGACGCCAGACGATGAATAAGGGTCTTATCTAGTGAAACGATCGGTCATTTCAAAAATAAATAAAGCACAAATGCCCGCCTTGCTCTGTTCTGTGATGAGCATTCATGACTCTCCTGTTCGTTCATCAAAATTAACAAACCTTTTTTCAAGTCATGACGTTTAAAGCCCTTTGAAGCTGCACTGAAATTCTCATTTGAAGATTTCTGATTTTCAATTAAATTTTTTGGCTTCAAATCAAATTCAAATCACCTTTCACAACCATGTTTGGTTTGGTGGTTCATGGCTTATTCCTAAGCGGAGAATTTTTTAAATCCCTATGGGAAAAATACTTTCACTAAAAATGTGGGCAGGCATTGTTTGCACTCTATTAGTACCGGCCAATTTTATCAATCATACTTTTATCAATCATCAGTTTCAGTGTGAATATGTACATCAGTAGAATCAGATCATTTAATCATTTAATTCAAATTGTATATTTTACATTTTACATACAGTAGGTTAAGACTTGGCTAAAGGTGAATCAAATATGTGATCATTGATTCTTTTAATATTGTGTAGTTGTATTTTTTATTTTTTTTATTTTATTTTAATTTATTTTTTTGTGTGTATTGTGTGCTTGTTGTCTTTTCTACTGTTCCTTGCCCAGGGACCACAGATGTAAATTAGCTGTACAGCTAACTCTGGTACAGGACTTGAACTGTGCATGGTCCCTGACAAATAAACGAATAAATAAAAATAAATAAAATATGTTCAGCTGTATATAATATATACATATGCATGTATAGCCCTGCCCCAAACTCATCCCATTGGTTGAGACAACGTTGCTCATACTGTACGTTTTGATAGTGTCAGAGTGATTACAATTTTTGGGTACTATTTCTGATCTTTTAGTTTGTATCTTAAAAGTATGTCCCAGCTGAGCTATGCTTACCTAGACAGCCTTCTGTTTATGATAATACGAGGTCTTATTATTATTGAGAAATGCGGTGAAGATACTGTGCATAGTGTGTGATTCTTCCTAGATGTGTTTAGAGCATAAGGTGTAATATTTATTAGCAGTTCTTGATGGTGCAATTATGGCGTGTCCATGAATTGAATCCAGATGGAAGCTGTGTAAAATATGACTGCCATACAATCTCCAATAGAATTACTGTGTGCATGTATTTTACATATATGTGGTGTTCTGCTGGGCTCAGGCGGCCCACTCCACAGGACAGTGCATGTTAAAAACGAATAACTCCAATCCACCTCCAAAAATACAGCCAATGGCACAACAATTCCATCTTAATCCCCCATTGCATTTTATGTGGACATAATAGATGGATAAAAATTGTGTATATCATTCAGCAAATATGCATTGTTGTACTATTACTGTATTATTATTTTAATCAATTCATTAATCGACTGTAGTATTATGTGGCCCTATGGAACACGTGCATTTCGGGAAAGGCTGATCCTCTCCTTGCATGACTCCCATTAAAAACCGCCCGTGGAGACAGTTTAGGAAATGTAATATTACAGCAATATTGACTTCCGATGCAACAGACACAATCTTAGGCCTCCAGGCAAGGGGAAATTAAAGAGATGGCATAGCACAGTGAAATGGCTCTATTTCCCCCATTCTGAATGGGGTAATGAGGGTTTAGGCGTCTTCATTAAACATCTGTTAAGGAAATATTACTGCACGTCTTTAAATGGTGCCATTGGTCATGCTGAGTTGTAGAATATGAGGCGGAGATGTTTAAAGAAGCATTCCAGGTTAAATACAGCTTAAGCTCAATCAAAAGCATCTGAGTGTTTATATAAAAACAAGTTTATGGCAATGCAGTTTCAATGGGTCTTTGGGGTGAGCATAATAGTTTAAAAGCCGAAATATGAACATTGAATTTAATAACACATTTGTCATTTCTTCTTTAATTAAAACAATAATTGACCGTTGTACAACTGCCCTATTTCACACCAGGCAGTACGATGCGTTTTGGTCAATCGGATCACAAGTGGACGAAGCACTAAATTCAGGTGTAAACGGGTCTAAAACGTTTTGAGCTTGTCCACTTTCGCCGATTTCCAGATGTACTCGAAAACACATCAATGTTCTCTCTCCATTCCTGATTTCTAACACACACTCACAGCGTTTGGTGTGGTCTAGCGGCTGTCAGAGCAAAGACTAAAGCTGTTGCTCTATGTATGGTTTTGCGTTGTATCTGTGTGCGTTTGATCATATGTAAACTGCTTATTTTGTCCATTAGTTCGAAAGATCTGAAAAAATACATTCATTAGACCTTCTCTCTATAAAATCAGGACAGAAGTGGCTGACAGTGGACAAAAGAGACGGATTAAAACAGCAGGTGTAAACAGGAATGGGTCTCCCTTGTTTACTTGTGAGCCGATCGACCAAAACGCATCTTAATATCAGGTGTAAACAGGGCCATAGACTTCTACTATAAGTACATTACTGAATGCTTGTTTGTCATTTCAAACTAACTGACGAGTTAATTTTATTGTCTGTGGTAATCAACAGCAGCTGTCAATAGGGTTTAAGTTGTAAGGGGTTTCCTGATATCAAGGTTCTTGGCAAGAAAAACAAAGGGTGGGTGTCACAGCTAAAGAGGAAATATATTTACCAAAAACGAATGGCTGCAAACCAGAGCGTTTTAGAGATTAGACTGGCTAATAAAGCTTATGCTTAAGCTGCCAGGAGCTCTTGTTTCTGGGTCGGTGATTTACCTGACAACAGAGGTATGCTGGAGGGGGCAGCCAAGGGACGTGGGAAATGACGTTTTTTTTTCTTAGTCTTAAACTGAAACAAATACGCAGACAAATACATTGAGCTTAAGTTATGAAATCCACATTGTGTAAGTCTTAGTATGACGGAGAAGAAAATATTGAACATCAGAACATGAAAATTCTGTCATCATTTACTCACCTTCATGTCGTTCCGAACATCTAAGACTTTCTCTCTTCAGTGGAATATTTTGAAAAATGCGACTAAACCTTGGTTAGCAACTTTCTTCAAAATATCGTTTTGTATGTTCCAAAAAAAAAAAGAAAGTCAAACCAGTTTGGAACAACATGAGGATGAGTAAATAATAACAGAATTTTAATTTAAACTTTAATTGCTCATATTTGCAAATGCTAATAATGCAGTTCTGTTCTCAAAAAGCCACCATCTTGCTAATAAACACAGCTCACCATAGAGAGCCATGGGGTGACTACGAGCGAGTCGAGGGTCCAGTGAGGAAAGCACTGTCATTACCATATGGTAAAGTGCCTTATATGGACACAAAATCACCAAGACAGGTGGGCACTGGAGCCCAGTCAGCTGAGCTGGACCCGTCTGCTCTTGGCTGGTGTGTACCCTCACAGGTGTGGTGGACCCGGGACTGAGAAGGATGAGTGCAGTCACCTTCTGCGGCCACACGGACACTTCTATTACGTAATCAACATCATGAACGTACAGTAAAAGGCTAAGCAATCAAAATGTTTTCTTTCACAAGATGAATCAGCGTTTTTGAACGAATCTCTTGAATGAATGATTCAATGACAAATACATTTGTTTAAAAGTCTCATCACCATCTGGTAATGATACAATCAAGCGCCATGTTACTTTAAAAAGGGGATTTGCTCTATTTTGATCGCTACCGCAGACATCAGTGTTTATATATGTGAAGATATGAATATTTGTAACACAGAATAACAATACTGTGAGGTTGAAAAGACTGTTTGTAAAGCTGTTTCATACTTATACATGACTACTGCTCTCCTTGTCAAAGGTTTCATAGATACAGGGAAATCGTTAACATTTAGGGATGAGATTGCGTAGAGGTTTGAATCGAGATCGCAATCTTTTAACGATTAATCGCACAGCTATATTAGTGCCCAGCAGAGAAACTTATCGGCCAATGGCGATAACTAAAAAAAAATGAAATATCGGCCGATATATCGGCATTACCGATAAATTAGTCGACCACTTAGTAGCCAGTATTTTACACATACTGGATGAATGAAATAGTGGGAATTTTTAAGCATAATATCACATCGCTTTGCAGTTTCTAAGATGTTCTTAGCTTTTAGACTTTTAGGCATTCGGCCGATATATCGGTATTGCCGATAAATTAGTCGACCACTTAGAAGCCAGTATTTTAGACATACTGGATGAATGAAATAGTGGGAATTTTTAAGCACAATATCACATCGCTTTGCAGTTTCTAAGATGTTCTTAGCTTTTAGACTTTGAGGCTTTTAGAATAAAATAAAATAAAATAGTTAAACGATTGTCAACTACTTAAATGTTTCTTAAAAACATTTTTCTTCAATTTATCACCCTGACATATTGTACTTTTATAACCCCCCATCCCCCCAATCCCCCAAAAAGTTTTTCTTAGAAGAAATGCATGCATTCCTGTCATTGTACATGTGAATTTATGTATTTCCTTTTATAAATTAATAAATCCAGACAAAAAATTGCATAATGCCATTGACCCACATACTGCACAATAAAGTCAGGAAAGAATATTACGCAAGAATGTAACAAGCACTAACAAAACAGGCATTTAAGCCTTTATGCTCTGAAATTCCTCAAATCTAAATATGTCAGATAAAGTATAGGGCACAGAATGGTTAGTCTCAGAGCGGTGTTGGGTGCCAGGGTAGCAGCCTGGGGACAGGCCTGTCCGGTAGTGCGCCTACTGGGAGTGGCACGCCACCTCAGCATTACCACTGGGCATGGGCGAAGCACCTAAGGACCCCAATGCCAACCCAGAAGGGAGTCCCAGACTGTGCCGGAAGCTCTGAAACCCCTAAAACACTCCCTCCTCTGAGTCCTGGCATCTCAAGCCTGCCAGCTATTGCTCTGAGCCCAACACACATGCATGAGTCCAAACCTCAGCCTAAGCCCGGACAGATAACCATCAAAACCTATTACGCTTATGTTTTCAATTGAAAACATAGATTATATACTGAAACTTAAGAGGTAAGAGTGTTTGTGTGTGCATATGCAACCAAATCCCCAGTGCCATCAGCCCCAGGAGGAAGATGGGTTGCGGGTTGTGAGGGCCAAAGGAAATGACTTTTTTGGTTGTTGTAATCCAAAATTGGATCTAAATCCTTTGAGGCTTAAAAGCAGAGGTTGCATTGGACATGTAACCGCAGCCAAATCTCTGGGCAGCTTGGCTCGCAAACCCAGCTGAGTGAGGGCATGCGTTTGCAAAAGTCAAGTGTAGATATTAAAATCCGTGCTGCCTGCTACTGCCTGTTTAGACCCATTTTTCTGCTGACTGAACTCCAAGTCTAGAATGGCAATTAATGTCAGGGCATTTTAACCTGATCACAAAATAATGGTAAAAAGGCATTGCATGCAAACTTTTATATTAAAAATAACTTTATATTGTCGCTAGTGAGAATCTCAGTAAAAATATCATTCGCAAATTAATATTTTTGGTCGCAAATGCAGTCTGGAGCCCTATTATAATATTCCATTTACATATTATCTGACTATGCAAAATAAAGTCAACCTGGAATGCTTTACAATTTACAATGCATATTATAGGTGAAATGCATTCATGGTAGCTATTGATGTATTTCTTTGGTCTAATGGAGGTCCTGTTTACTCCTGGTATGCATTTTGGTGGATCGGATCACAAGTGGACGACGTGTAAACGGGATCTAAAACGTTTTGAGCTTGACCACTTTTGACCACTTCTAAACGTAGTTGAAAACGCATTCAACTGGATTTCATAGTTGTTTCATAGTGTTAATGGTCATGTGGTCGAATGTGTATATGACCGTCTACTCTCCACCTACCGACGTAATGCGTAAACATTATGGGAAGCACGCTAGCCAGACGGGATTTAGACTTTGTCTGCTAATGACCCAAGTTTGGTTTGAAGATGAAAAACGAACAAAGCACAATGTTCTCTCACCATTACTGATTTCTAACATGTACTCATAGCGTTCGGTGTGGTCTAGCGGCTGTCACAGCAGAAACGAAGTCACCATATGTAAATTGCGCCAGCTTATTTTGTCCATTAGATTTAAAGATCTGAAAAAACACACATTTACCCACCCATAGACCCTCTCCTCAAAGAAATCAGGACAGACGTGGTTGAAAGTGAACAAAAGAGACGGATTAAAACACCAGTTGTAAACGGAAATGTCTCCCATGTCTACTTGTGATCAAACCGACCCAAATTATTTTTTTTATTTTTTTTTACATTTTTATTAATTTAGCTGAAGCTTTTATCCAAAGCGACTTACAATTGCTTTATATGTCAGAGGTAGCACGCCTCTGGAGCAACTAGGGTTTGAGTGTCTTGCTCAGGGACACATTGGTGTCTCACAGTGGATTCGAACCCGGGTCTCTCACACCAAAGGCATGTGTCTTATCCACTGCGCCATCACCACCCCAACATCTTAATACCAGGTGTAAACAGGGCCATGAGAGTGGCCTACCTGCAGACAGTGAAGCAGAGGGCTCCGCTAGCCCCGGCCCCAAAGACAGCACACAGGACATTGATACTGTGAGCCGGAGAACTGAGAGGAAGCAGTGAGAGCATCAGAGAAGACAACATGGTGAAGAGAGGGTATCCTGGAGGATGGGCCACCTGTGGGAAAACACAACTGTAAACTCACTCACAGTACATTCTGATAACAGCAACAGAATTTAAAGAACCCCACCCCCCCAACACCACCATACAGTTCAGCTTTCAAAGGCAGACCTTACTTTTGCGGGTTACAGCCTCACACTGTCCTCCCCCTCCCTTCAAGCCTGATCTCTCCTGTCTCCTTGCCTTCCCAGCAATTAGGCACTAAGTCCTCTAAGGAGCGATAAGGACTAGAGCTATTAAAGGCTGTCTCACTCCTACTGGCCTGATAACACACACGGGCACAGCAGGCTGAGAAACACTGCACACTAGAGCGAAAAGCAAGGAAACGTCTCTGAGAAGAGGTTGTTTGAGGGATGGATTGAAAATTCGGTGGACAAGTGGGTGTCTAAAAGCTAGTGTGAGTTCAAGATCAAAGCAGGGAAGAGGGCCCAAGTCAACTGATCCCTCTAAACAATTTTGTAAGGCTGAAGTCGTTGTCAGTCAGATTTGTGGAACTGTGATAAGTCAGTGTTGGGGAGTAACTAACTAAAAGTAACTTAAAGGGATACTCCACTTTTTTTGGAAATAGGCTCATTTTACAACTCCCCCAGATTTAAACAGTTGGGTTTTACCGTTTTTGAATCCATTCAGCCGATTTTCTGATATTTAGTAGAATATCAGTAACCAGACCGTTTGTGGTCTCATTGACTTCCATAGTATATTTTTTTCCTACTATGGAAGTTAATGAGACCAGAAACGGTCTGGTTACTGATATTCTACTAAATATCAGAAAATCGGCTGAATGGATTCAAAAACGGTAAAACCCAACTGTTTAAATCTGGGGGAGTTTTAAAATGAGCCTATTTCCAAAAAAAAGTGTAGTATCCCTTAAAACTTAAAAGTAACTCAACTGTATAATATTGAAAAATAAAAAAAATAAACCCAGTGTACTTTGCGTTCACAAACATGGATTTGTTGACTAGTCCAGGGGTGGTGGACCCCTAGAGGGCTGCAGGAGGGTTATAGGAGGTCTACTTTTTAGAAAACAGTTTTAATTGTAACATTACAAAAAAACTCCAGGGTTCTTCCAATGTCCAATCTGGGACTTGTGACATCCTCAATTTGTGGTTGAAAGGGTCTGTCTGGAGCACAAAACACATATCCCGAACGAAATGTTCATTTCGAGAACTTAAAGGGGTGATGAACTGAGAAATCAAATATTCCTTGAGCTTTTGACATCTAAGAGTTCATCATATTATAAGAATATGCTGTAAGTTTCAGAACTGAAAACGTCCTTGTTAGTCCAATAAAAGCTTTTATTGACACCAGCCCCAGCAAACGACTCGTTTTTCAAAGTGGGGAACAATGGCGTCAAAGATGATAAAACACCACCCCCGTAGAAGAAGATCAACGCTTACTTCAACACGGCCAGTTTAGCTCCGCCCACCGATTCACGCATTACACGCATAGCTAAATAACAAATTCACACAACTCAAAAAAATATATTTTATACAATATATATATATATATATATAAAAAATATACAATTCCATATTTATATCTAATTTTAAGGAACTGGATCCCTTAGAAGGGGATTGTTATATCTGGGGGTCCGTAAAGTTACAGATGTTAAGAGCCCTGGATGACATCAACTATTGCTTGACAACTAAATATGGGTAGTCATGCAGACCCTAGTCTCTCATATTAAGCATGAGGTAATTCAAATAATTCATTTGTACAATTAAATGAATCGAACCAATACAAGGCAAAATCCTTGCATATAACATAATATTGTTAGCTACTTAGTTTGTCAATAGGGTTGAGTGACTTTAAATTATAAGTAGAATCGATTGTAAAGTAGCTTCCCCAACACTGCCGAACGTGTCGTCTGAATATAAAGTAAAGATGCTAATTCAATATGAGGAAAGAACCGACAGCTTGAAGACAAGAAAGAGAGGTCAAGGCAGAGAAGAACAGAGAGGCTTGGAAGGGGGCACAAACACAGGACAAAAGAAAGAGAGAGACAGTATGGCAAACAGATGGCAGGGGCGCGAAGGGCACGCTTGGAAGTGCCAGGAAGGTGTGCGTGACTGCGCAAGTGACGTGTGAGGTGTGTGGCAGAAATGCCTGCACTGGTGCCACGCTCGGCCGACGGCGTGGAAAGCAACGCAAGAGCCGTCGCCAGGTCTGGAAGTGCGGGTGGCACGGTGGAAAAAGGCGAAATGCACGGCAGGGGGCAGTCCTGCTATACGAGGAGTTTAAAGATCCACGGCTCCAGGGAGCAGGAAGGGAGGGCCGGCGGCCTGTGGCCCGGAGAGAGCCCTCCGACCCTGGGGAGAGCCGCAGACAGGCAGGCCACACGGACAGGGGAGGGAGGGATTACTGGCATAGTGACACCGCCACAGACTCCCTAAAAGGATCGCGGCGGCGTAATAAACTTTATTAAATAATAAAACTTATTATAACTGTTAACCCGATTTAGTTCATTCTTTGCGGCTTACACACACGCACACACGCGTGCACAAAAAGGAGAGGGGTTGAGTATAATGAGCCTTATACCGTACATAAGGCGAAGCTTACAAAAGCCATCGCCTAACCATTCAGTCTAATTGGATTTGAAGAACAGGGTTGCAAATTATAGCATTCTCTAGTCCTAACTTAGTCAAAAAAAAAAGAAGTGCACAGAAAAGAAGAGAGGATAAAAAAACCTGTGGCCTGAAAAGTAAATTAATCATCTTTCGTCTCCCCCCATACTTAATTAAACTTCCTTAATGCTTATAAGAGTTAATGAGTGGATTGATTAAACAATGCAGCTAATGCTTACCCCCAGCTCACAAGCAGCAGTGATCAGCTCTCCTGTGGTAGAAAAACAGAGAGGGAAATTAATGTAAACCCAATAATTATTATTAAGAGACAAGTCCGCTCCTGAAAGTTTTCCCAAATCAAATACTTGCACTGGGTTTTGCATTAATTTGCCCGGATCAAAACCTGCAAAATCTTCCCAGTGTGACATTTCCTAAGCGACACGCTCATTCTCTTCCATCGCGCACGGATCCCCTGATCCCCGAGCAGACAGACGCACGCATACACAGGCAAATCTATTCACTCTTCCCATATTCTGTGACTCGAGATGCACACATGGACGTAAACGCCTGTGAGTCCCTCTGTGCAGAGCCACACGCATACAAAAAGCTCCCTTTGACTGGTCTTTTTAAGAGCTTCTGCATCACTCACAACCATTATACACACATATCTAGTCCTGTAAACCATCAACATATTAAAAACCTATGATTCATTCAGGGTTCCCACACTTTCTGACCAATCAGTTTCCAGGACCTTTCATGATTCATCATGATTACCAGACAGATTGTTCAGCGTATTTCTGAATGTATGTCACCTGAATTAATAGATTTTACAGATTATTTTCAATCTTTTATTATTTTTTTAATTTCATGCTCTTTATACCTCCATTATATGACTGAGAGACAAGAACGGTTTGACCTAAAAAAATGCCCTTGAGGTAAGCTAAAACATCAAAAATTAATTTCAAAGTGAACTATCCCTTTAAAGGACACATGAGAAATCAAATTTGCCTTGGGTCTTTGTACCATTAAAACATCCTGCATCCAGCTTAAAATGTCCACCTCATTAAAAACAGAGTATTTATTTAATCATGATTTATATATACAGTAATGTAACGTTAACTCAACGGCGTTCATAAACACACTGAAAAGTGATTATGCGTGTTGATAGCGAAATACGAATTGGTGGAACTGCATCACTTTACTGTAAGACCTAACAACATGCTTGTTTGTAGGGAAGATTGGGAATTATTAACTAATTTCAGTATCCAATACTGTACTTAGTGCCCAAGTCAAGTCATGTGACAAAAGAACGAAAGACTCGGACCCGAAGACTTGGGAAGTGAACTTATCATTCCTGTACAGAACCTATGGGATGTTGTGCATGCATGGTCAACACAAAATGAACGAATCACTCTTTGAGACAACTCTCTTCGTTATCTCTTAGTCATATTAAAGATTCTTTCAAAATGAATGAATCGTTCATGATCAACCCATCACTAGAACCCTTAAGGATCCCAGTGTTTGGCACAAGTGGATGGTTTATTTTCATTTCCGTCATGGATTGTGTCAAAGGATGTTTGTTCTGAGAATTTGACTGCAGATTGTTTTGCAAACGAAGTACAGTGTGATAGAAAGTTTACAGAGAAACCTGTCTTGACAGATGAAGCCGTTAGCGGTTTTAGACCTGACATCGCAAAACTTATAATTCATAATGCTTTGTCTGTAAATTTCGGTTTTATAGAACGTTTTCAGAACACTTAATTGAGTGCAATAGGGAGTGGGTGTTGATAAGGTTTCATATGTGCCAATCATTAGCCAATCATAACAGCGGCTGTTTACTTTAAAGGAGCCGCCCCTTAAAAACTGATCATTTCAGACAGAGGCTCACGCCTGTTTCAGAACAAGGGTTGAAAAAAATGTTTTTTACACACACACACACACACATATATATATATATATATATATATATATATTAGGGCTGGGCAAAGATTAATCGCCATTAATCTTATCCAAAATTAAAGTTTTTATGTTTTTACAATTATTAAAGTATATTATTAAAGTATTATATAAAAGTTTGTGTTCATAATTATTTTTTATATATAAATACACACACATGCATGTTTATATTTAAGAAATATTTGCATGCATGTACTGTATATTTATACATAATTTATATAAAATATAAATATTATTTATATTATATTATTTTATATATAATAACACATTTTTCTTAAATATATACATGCATGTGTGTGTGTGAACTTTTATATACAAAATATTTGTTCACAGTACACACACATATATTATGTAAACACAAACTTTTATTTTGGATGTGGTTAATTGCGATTAATCGTTGCCCAGCCCTATTTTTTTTTTTTTTTAGCAAAAAACTATCAACATTATTAGTGATAGTGAACTTCAAGGAACATATTAAAATGATTTTTTAAAAACCATGTCATGACCCCTTTAACTAATTGGCCATTGTTTTTTTGTTTTTTTTTTAGAAAGAAATTAATACTTTTATTCAACACGGTTGCATTAAAATTGATCAAAAGTGACAATACAAACATTTCTATTTCTAATAAATGCTATTCTTTTAAACTTTCTAATTATCAAAGGGTCCTGAAATAAACGCAGTCTTGGTTAGCATAAGCGACTTCTTACAGACTCGGTAAGTACTGTGTATCTATGACTTTTCCATCCTTTTCCATGCTTAGAAATTAACATTTTAAAATTCATAGGTCTAGATGTTCATAGGTTTTCCATGGCTCTGGAAACTATAGTATCGATACAGAGAGGTTTAGGTGTGGAAAGGGTTGCAATTTCAAGACTTTACAACCAAAATCTAGAAACCCCCAAAAAAACTGCAGTTCAGAGATTAATGGACAAAAAGTCCTTTCGCCTACTAATCCCAAATGTTTTTTGCCCTGTTGTATAAATCTAAGCAATGCCGCCTGACGCAATACTTGTCTAAACACTGTAAAATCCTATAATCTGTGCTCTCTGATGCAATATGAAATGTTCAGTGCATCACCGAATTTTGAAATTGTTAGCTGGCACTTCGTGCGTATCACTAGCGGTCGTCTGTTTTCGTTGTCATGTTGGAAGTCCTCTATCTGTAGGTGCAGACCCCTCACACTTCAGCGGCTGAATATCCTCTGCTTTCACAGTCTCATTTAGAATAGAAATAAATACACGCGCGGTGAGGCCAGGTCTACCGCATTTCAAAGCATGTGGATCTCCCTGTAATCAAAATTTCTCATGTTATGCACCACAATTTCATTCATGGCAGTGCAGTGCTGTGTCTAGACCCCAAAAGAGAGCCCGGTCCCATGGAGGGAGGGCTAAACAGAGAAAGGGGCACAGATGCAGTTGAGAGCAGGACAGCGGCGGAAGGAGCGAAGTGTCTCTGTGATAGGCACCCACAGCAGCCTTTTCCCCCCCATAATCCCCATCATTTCCACACTCGCATTCCTAGACAACAGCGGTCCCGCGGGGCGCCCGCTCAGCCTCTCCGGGGCGCAGCACACCTAAAGGGATTAGGACTGCGAGACGGAGACCTGGAGAATTTCTGCCGAGCATTCAGCTGGCGCTATCACACCAGCATCCTGCAATGTCCCTAAACGCCACGCTTAAGGGGTTGGCTGTTTTTTCTCTCTCCGTAAGCCCCAAACAGCTTCTTGAACCCCCCCCCAAAAAAAGCCTCCAAAAGCCACCCTGCCCGTGCACATGCTGTAAAGCTCACAGAACAGCAGCTTGTTGTTTGCTCCTCAGAAAAACATTTATTTTTGTATCCAATTAGTGAATCTGGCTGCCTTTTTAAAAAGCATTGTGCAAGACTGCATTCATGGGTCTTTGACAAAAAAAAAAGTGTGTATAAATAAAACACAATAAAGAAATCTAGTTTAAAACACACGCCAGGTTCTTACAAATGTAATTTGTATTCTAGCTGGCTTCATATGGTTTGGAAAATGTTTCATACATTTAAAAATCGAATGACTAAATGTCATGTGGTCAAATTATCATTGTTTTAACATTTTCACCAATTCTGCAGAGCGTTAATATCATCATGTACAGTATTTCTCTCTCTCTCTCTCTCGCTTGTGATTAATGGTCTGACCTCAGTCCAGAGGGATTAGTATTTCTGTTCTCTTGACAGCTTTGAGAGGGACGCAGACACACGACTCATCTCGTCTGACCCAGCAGTAAATAACCTTCCCATTTGTTCACACAGATGATAATGCCTGCAGTGAATAATGCCAAAAATATAATAGGAACAAGTGGCATCTGTAAACGCAATCTCAAAACAACTTTTCTGAGCCATTTTTAGAGATCGCAAGTTCGCACCCAGAAAGTGTCCAATACTTTTTACATATTAATAACAAACGTTGTATAAAAATGATTGTCAACAGTGCTATATGAAAGATATAACGTAATGAATGACACCATTTTGCTTTATGAAATATGGGTAAAATGGCCATAATGGGTAGTCCCATTCAAAACAATGTAGGCTATCTATACACTGTATCTGGTTTGCACATTGATGTGTTCTTGGGGCAACAAGTACTGAAAACAGAAGTGTAATAACTGGCAACATTTTCATAATAATATCTAATATTTCATAGGAATATATAATTTCTTTCCCTAATCGCTTGTTGTGTCTCCCAAAATCCCTGATACGTCATATTTTGATTAAAAATCACATAACATTCACGAAAATTTGAATTAGTCAGATTTAAGTGAAAATGACAGAATATTATCATATTTCGATGATTCAATAACTAAATTAATGTCAGTGATTTTTAAAGACCAAGGAATTGTTGTTGTTGTCATCATGTTGAAACCTCCAAACATTTGGTAGCCTATCTCTGAAAAGCCCTGAATGTGCTCTTTACAGGACATCCAGACTGTGACATGTATGGGGTCAGAGAAATTCACTAAAATATAATCCATTACAGAGGACAAACGTCTTTTCCTGGGTCCATTGAAGATATAATGTGATAGTGTCATACATACTGTATAAGACTTGAGTGTCCAAATAATTTTTGGGTGCCACTGTAGGCGATGGATTGTGACAGGGTTCTGACGAGAGATTAACAATAATCTCAATAGGTCTCATGCGATTCACACTATGTGATTTTACAATATGCTGTTCTGTGATAGGCTGCATGTGATATAAACACAAACACATGTGACTGACTGCAGTCCTACCTGAGTCTCCACCGGGCACAGCGCGCGGCGCCGAGGCCACATACACCGCTAAAACACACACCGCTGTCGCTCCTGTCAGGGTCCATGTCCACCTGTCCGACGACATTCAGACGTTTTCTGAGGTTTGAAGTTAGTGTTAGTTATTTGATACTTCCTGTATGTTAGACGTTTACTCGTTAGACGTGTCTGGAACAGCATTCTTCATCTCGCGCATCTAGTTTGCAATCCGGAGCGTACTCAAAATACACCGATAAATACATGTTTATATAAACATATAAGCTGTACGCCAATAAACGGAAGCGTTATTATCGAGGTAAGCCGGTGTTAAAATAAAGTTTTCGTTTAAGTTGCCCTCTTCTATGCCGGTGGTGGTGGCAGCCTTTATGTAGAGAGCATTGCGAATGCTGCTTTTAACAAACCGAACTGAAGCTTATAGACATCGCGTCATTGAGCGTTTTTAGTCTTCTCGGAAGCACAATCTGGACTGAATCTGCATTTACATCTGCACTGTTGATCTTTTGACTTTTTTCCCGCTTGGACTCGATGATGGTGTTGTGATTTCACTTCCTGGTTGGGAGGGGTTTGTGGTAGCGCTTGTAAAAATTACCATAGTAACCGTAGTTTCCGGCAAATTACCGAAGTTGCTGCAGTTCTTGTGACTACTGCGAAATCTAAACAAATAAATACGGGATCTCCAATAAACACGACGATAAGCTTTCAGAAATCTCTCTTTGATGACAATAGGCATATGTTTGCTGTTAACTAACTGTCCACATATGGTTGACATGTTTATTTCATTTATTTCTTTTTTTATTCAGCACAACAGTAATGTTAACTATGTTGATTATGCCATTCTAGATGTGGCATTAATCGTTTCAGGCTTTAATCCCATTATAATCCGGTGATGTGTAAACTCATGCCTACTATGATTTCTTTACTATAAACATACTTACCTTAAAAGTGTTACTTTAATTGCTAGTACAATAAAACATGGTATTTTCCATTAATATTATCAAAATAATAAATGAAAGTGACACAAATATTCCTAAAAACATATGTTGTTCAAAGGAAAAATCACATATTTTAGTTTAATATTAATAACAGTAACTACAGTGGTTACTATGATCATTGTTTAGGGTCAAGGTAGACGGCAGATTGCACTGTTGTGTAACTTGATGTGGATCATTAAGCATATATGGTATATGGAACATTGAAAATATTTTCCCAAACATTGGAATAATTACATTGTACAAAACAACTTTAATGTACCCACATAGTCAATCATTTTAACCCTTAAAACTCATCTTTGATCGCCAAAATGACATTCAACTTTTCATCTCACAATTGCAAGTTTACATCTCAAAATTCTGACTTTCTTTCCTTCATAACATAATGACTTCACAACTCTCAATTGAATACCTTCACCTTCATTTATAAAGCACTTTTAACAGTATGGATTCTTTCAAAGCAACTTTACAGTTATAATAGAAATTAATTACAGTAACAGATTTAGGATAAAGTTATTGTCCAGCTAAAGTTTGTTTTGATTGATTCCCTTCCGTTGCAAAGATCATTAACTTAGTTATTAACTTGGGGGCCGCTTACAGAAAACTCTTGACACCCATCCACACAAAGTACACGCTCCCTGAAATAGGTTCGGAGGAGCAAACGATTATTCGTTATCTCTGTGTAAACCTCAAAATGCAAACCCACAAAAACGCAGACGACGTGCACATGCACATCACATGTTAAGCCCATAAATGTGTGTTTGAATATACGTGTGCAGGCGTGTAGTCCTTAATGTAATATCATGTAAGAATTGCGAGATGATTAGTCTTTTTCTTGACTACATTATCAATCAGCTAATAATCTGTTGCTAATGTTACACAAACTATGTTCAAGTTCGGATCTCAGAGTCAGACATCTGCCTTCTCAGACACTGAACAACTCAGAACGTCAGTGGACAAAAGGCATATATACCATAACATCGTAATATACACAATTCACCCGCTATATTGCTAAATATACCTGATTTTTCATGTCAACAGAAAAATATACCAGGATAGCATATTATCTTCTCTTGAGACTGCCCTGCTTTGCAGCAGTTAATGATATGCTAAAGCCCGCCCACTTCGTGACGTGATTGGTTACAAGGTTGTTTGTGACGTCAGTCAGAAACACGAGCGGTTTCACCGCAGTTTTAGGAGAAATTAATTGGAAACGGTGTTGATTTGTGAATTTGCACATGGTTTGACTGGAGAAAGCATATTAAAAACACCACATAGACACACAACAACATTAAAAGCTTGATTTTCCCCACAGGGGGACTTGAAATTAGACTAGGACCAAAACATTCATTCATAGTCACAGCCTTATTTTAATTTGTGTCAAATTAAATGACATCTGCCCTTACTAAAAAACCTGACAAAAAATGATTTGTCTTGTAGTTTTTACATTTAGCTGCAGTAAAAGTCTTTCTGGTGGCAGTTGCGAGATGTGGATGTAATTCGAGACCCTTCTGTGCCTGAAGAGTGGAAGGGTTACCCTCATAAAAATGTCATGCTAGACTGATCATTAATCCTCCACTATCTAAACGGAGTCTGATCCTTGACTAAATTGGGAGCTCTGAGAGGTAGAGATGTGTCAGCACCTCAGAGTTCATAATCCTCCACGCTCCCCTCCACCCTTTACTACTGTTCCTACTGTCTAATCACTGTTTCAACCACCTACCTGACACACACACACGCTGTCTGTCTTCCTTTTTTATTACACGCATCCAAAAACCTCTTTCTCCAAAGCAAAATATGTTACTTCATTACTTATAATATGTAATGAAAATGATGCAAATACTGTATTATAATCCTATATTAATATACACTCTATAAACTCTATACACTAACCTAATTTAGGGGTGTGGTCCTGGTCAAGACAAGTAAATGAGGCGGATGGGCTACAACATCAGAAGACCCCACCGGGTATCACTCATCTCCAATACAAATAGGAAAAAGGGGCTACAGTTTGCAAGAGTTCACCAAAATTGGACAGTTGAAGACTGGAAAAATATTGCCTGGTCTGATGAGTCTCGATTTCTGTTGAGACATTCAGATGGTAGAGTCAGAATTTGGTGTAAACAGAATGAGAACATGGATCCATCATGCCTTGTTACCACTGTGCAGGCTGGTGGTGGTGGTGTAATGGAGTGGGGGATGTTTTCTTGGCACACTTTAGGCCCCTTAGTGCCAATTGGGCATCATTTACATATGAAATAATACTTGCGGCTTTGCGGCTATAGGCTACTATTGATTAACAACCTCATAGCTCACAATAGGGCTGTCTTTAAAGGGATACTCCACTTTTTTTGGAAATAGGCTCATTTTACCACTGCCCCAGAGTTAAACAGTTTGGTTTTACCGTTTTTGAATCCATTCAGCCGATTTTCTGATATTTAGAAGAATATCAGTAACCAGACAGTTTTTGGTCTCATTGACTTCCATAGTATATTTTTTTCCTACTATGGAAGTCAATGAGACCAGAAACGGTCTGGTTACTGATATTCTTCTAAATATCATAAAATCGGCTGAATGGATTCGAAAATGGTAAAACCCAACTGTTTAACTCTGGGGGAGTGGTAAAATGAGCCTATTTCCAAAAAAAGTGGAGTATCACTTTAAAGGTGTTCAAGTTAATTAGTTTCCTTATGAAGAAAATGAATGGAACATAAATGTTACACTCTATCACCAATAAAGGTGATTTATAAGGACGAGCGTTGATGCTACAGAAACAGGTAGCAAAAGATAGTGCCCTAAGCCAATGAGAATAAAGTAACCACAGGCTACTATCTGCAGTGCTAGGTACAATTTTCTACACTAAGAGTCAGTTTGAGTGCAGCATTCATTCAATTTAAATGCAAAGAATGTGAGAATTATTCATCCAGGTTGAAATGTTAAAGGAGAAGGCTTAATTTTTTTTCTTTGACAGGTTAATCTGGGTAATTCTTGGTGCGTCTTAATTCTTCATCAATCTGTAACTGGTAAATCTGCCGTTCTGAAAAGTTCAGGGATTTGTTTTACCATTTAAATGCAAGTATGAATCGTTTTTTAGACTTGGTCAGAAAAAAAAAAACATTTAATGAATAAAAAAAATATTTGATGACCTCAAAACACTTTAAAAATTTCAAGTATGTACTCTATACCCCTTATTTGCGTGTGAAATGTCTGCTGATTACAGCCAGGGCAGAAAAGACACCAGAAAATCACAGTATTTTAAGAGCAAAGCCAACATCACACATATCGACATCTGCACATGAATTCAATCGCTCAATGCATCAGTGAAAACTGGATTAGAGTTCCTAAATCGCAGATAAATCCGCCACTCATTGCAATATGTTTCAGCTCCAGCCTGTTGCTTACTATCTGCTTACTTACTGTACACTGACAGTCTGTTTTAATCTAAACCCAAGAGCCTAGCAAACAAGTGGATTTTCAATAAAGCCCTTTAAAATCTGTGTAGAAAAATCCCATGATCCTCTGTGTTAGCTACACAAATATGCACAGCAATGAAAGGATTCGGTCTGCAACAGATTAATTGCAGTGGTAAATGCAATATGTCTCTCATGCTCTATGTATTACTAGTACACCCTATTTTATTAACATACGGCTCTATCAGACAAGCTTTTTACAATCTCCGAGACAAGCATGTAATGATGATATACAGTTTATTGGGATCTCGGTTTCTTAAAAGCCGACACAAAACAAGAAGGCGATTCTTGTGCACATCAACCGACTGTTTAGGCATGCACCTTTGTCTTCTGTTTACCTCCTTGTGGTTTACAAAGCACTCCAATTAAAATCCCAAAGATTAGGACAATTGTGATTAATATTTTTTAGCGGGACCAGGAGTATGAGGCACAACAAAAGCAAGGGCTGCTTGGAATTGCCTTGAGCAGAACACCTAATGGCGGCCAATTAAAATAAGAGGATTCAATTTGGCCAAAGCAACAGGAACCTAAAGATAATGCATGTATCTAAAATTGCAGTAGATGCCACTCTCTTGATTCTGCTTCTATCATGTTTGTTATGGCATTTTGGCAAATTACCTGCAGCCATTGCAACAAACCCTTAGTAAAAACCTTAATAAAGGGGAGGGGGGGAGGGGATACGAAAATGTAACGAAACATTTTTAAAGGATTCGTTCGCTGATAATTTACTCACCCCCATGTCATCCAAGATGTCCATGTCTTTCTTTCTTCAGTCGAAAAGAAATTAAGGTTTTTGTTGAAAACATTCCAGGATTTTCTCCATATAATGGACTTCAATGGGGTCCAAACGGTTCAAGGTCTAAATGAGAGTTTCAGTGCAGCTTCAAAGGGCTTTAAACGACGCCAGACGATGAATAAGGGTCTTATCTAGCGAAACGATCTCTCATTTCAAGAATAGATAAAAAAAGTTTAAGTTTTATAAGCGCTTATGCTCGCCTTGCTCTGTTCTGTGATGCGAGTTTATGACTCTCCTGTTCGAACTCGTTCATCAAAATGAACAAATCTTTTTCGAGTTATTTGGTCCATTCA